GTGTGGCTCTTCCACAAAATACCGACTTCTGTGCATGGGCCACGAAGTTTCAATTGCACTGTACGTGCGTGCCCGCACGTGGTATTTTGTGGTGTTTTGTGGAAGAGCCACACTCAAGGGGCCAAAGAGCTGCATGTGGCTCACGAGCCGCAGTTTGCTGACCACAGCTCTAACCAACTGAGCTACTTGGCCAGGACTAGTCTATGGGGTTCTTATGTTTGTTTGAAAAACTTTTTTTAAAAATATGTTTTTATTGATTTCAGAGAGAGGAAGAGAGAGGGAGAGAGATAGAAACATCAATGATGGAGAGAATCATTGATTGGCTGCCTCCTGCACACCCCCTACCAGGAGGTCGAGCCAGCAACCCGGGTCATGTGCCCTGATCAGGAATCTATGATCTCCTGGTTCATGGATGCTCAACCACTGAGTCACACCAACCCAGCTATTAGGTTCTTTTAGATTGTTGACCTCTCCCGTAGGCCCTGATCCTTGTGTGTTCCTGACTCATCCTCCCTTCTACTCTCCAGTTCTACTTCCTTTCTTTATTCTCTTTACTTCTTTTGTGTCCCATTGACATAAATTTTTCTTCCAGCCCACTCTTTTCCCTTAACCTCCCAGCATATGTTATTTGGTCATGTTCCTGCTGGGGTCCAACCCCAGCAGGTCCAGGGGTCCCCAAAGGTGTGGACGGAGTCAGCGAAGAAGGAATGACACGGAGACAGCGTCCAGTTGATCAGCAGCCTAGCCAGGATCTCTAGCCAAGTTCTGGTTAGGATCTCCAGCCAGGTTCCGTGTCCATGTTCTCTTGCTAGGTTCTCCAGCCAGGTTCTCCAGGTTCTCCAGCCAGGTTCTGTAGCCATGTTCCCTTGCTAGGTTCTGTCCAGGTTCTCCAGCCAGGTTCGGTCAACAGGTTCTAGTCAGGTTCTCTTGCCATGTTCTATCCAGGTTCTGTAGCCACGTTCTGTCTCTAGGTTCTTCAGCCAGGTTCTCTTGCTAGGTTCTGTTTCTAGGTTCTGTCTCTAGGTTCTGTTGCCAGTTTCTGTCCAGGATCTTTTGCCATGTTCTGTTGCTAGGTTCTGTCTCCAGTTTCTGTCCAGGATCTTTTGCCATGTTCTCTCCAGCGAAGTTCTTCTGTCTCTAGGTTCTGTGTAGGTTCTGTGTCTAGGTTCTGTGTCCTGTTGTCTTGTTACATCTGTATTTATACCAGTTGATTCCAATCCTATCAATCTCTATTCCAAAGGTTAAGGCGTTTCTTATCTCCATTCCAGGGAGTAAAGATTATGTAGCTTAAGCATGATTGTTCGTAGTTAAAGTGATTAATTACCCGCCTGGCACTTAGTTAAGGGGTTTTATTCCCTCCCTAACTTCAGGGGAAAATCCCTACCTGGGGAAACAACCTTTCTCAGAGAGGTGACCTTGGTTAAAACACATAGTGCCAAGAAGGTGAGCAAACATATTAAGAACAGTATGCCATATATGCCAGGTCCCTTGAAACAGCAAGGATGGACCGGTTCCCGGCATGTTCCTATCTTTGGTTTTCCAATAGCCCCTCATACAAGGAAATGAGAAACTATTCTCAGGCCTCTTGTTTCCCTAACACACTCCCCTCATCCCCAAGCTCATGGAGGGTAACCTCTTGAGTGCAACTGGGGTTAGGGAGTGAGAGAAGTGATTGTCCTTGGTTCATAAACTCTTTGTTGAGAATTTTGAGACTTTTGGCATCTGGGCTCATTGTATTTTTTTTTTTTTTAATCTTTTTCTGGTTTGGGTGTTAAGGTGACCTCACTGCCTGGTCTGTTTCCCACTTAGGGCCGCACCCCAGTGTCCTCTGTCTATGTGTTTCTAGTTTAGGCCAAGAGAATTCTCAGCAAGGCCTCCTCCAATAGAGGTTGTTGCATCTTTCCTTAGCCCTCCACAGAAACACAAGCACATGGATAGGGTGGTTCTCAGGCAGTTCACTGAGGCCTTCAGGGTGAGTTTGCTGGGGAGAGAGAGGAAGATGGGAAGAAGCTAATCCACACTGTTTTTGTACCAAGATACTCCTCAGCACATGTTTTTATGTCAGCTCAGCACCGGGTACCTCTGTGAGTCAGCCACACTCAGCATTTGCAGCAAGATGCTGAACCTCTCCCCAAATTCAGTCCTACCCTCCAACTTATCGGTACACTCTTGCCACTGGCCTTAGGGAGTACTGTTCAAAAGCTGAGGGACAGAGGAATGAGGGTGAGGATAGTTGCTCCCTTACAAACATTGCTTCCCTCTGAAGGCTTCTAGCCCTCTTAATATAGTCAAACGGTCTATGTTCAGATAGATTTTCTACACTGTTTCCTCTTATTAAACCCCTTGGAAATGATGGGCTATACATGGCCACTTCTTTGAACTTAAAATGGAACAGAGTCCACAGAAATCTTGGTACCTTCCCATGAGTTGTTGGGTGGGGGGTGGGACAAGGGCATTTTATAGTAATTCCAGGTGTCTTAATCTGTTTGGGCTGCTATAACAAAAATATCAATTACTGGGTGGCTTATAAACAACATAAATTTATTTATAAAATTCTTGGGGCTAAGAAGTCCAAGGTCAAAGTGCTGACAGATTTGGCATTTGGTGAGGGCTCTCTTCTTGGTTTATAGCTGGCTGTCTTCTCACTGTAACTTCACATAGGGTAAGGGGTTAGTGAGCTTTCTGGGGTCTTTCTATAAGGGCATTAACCATTCATGAGGGCTCTACCCTCATGACCTATGCATATGCATATCATTCAGGAGAAATGTGTTGTCTTTGCTGGTCTTTTGTATGAATGAATAATACATCCTGGCTAGGTGAAAGAATGAAGCAATGATTGATGTGCACACCTCTATCTGCCCAGCTACCACCCTTTCTCTTTTTCCTCTCCCCCAATTTCCTGATTCAAACTCCCACTATCCTTGTAACTAGTCATTCTCATCAGCAATACAGGTTTCTAAGGCTTTTCCAACCTGATAATCAAGCAACTGTTCAATATTACCCTAATATTTAGGTGTTCAGAATCAGCAAAAGGGTGAACCCAGTTTATTAAATGGGGTTAATTAAATAAGAGTACATCATATATTAAGAAGGTTCAGTTCAGTCATGGTAAGAGCTCCAATTTTACATAAAATGTAAAGTGCCAGGGAAGATTATGATCTTTAATTCTTTGTCTCGCCCTTAAACATTAATTCTCCTTTATGTGCAGAATTAAAAATGGATGTAAGAAGAATTTACTCTACAATGCTTGGACTCTTCAGCCAAATAAAATATTAATGGAATAGAAGAAAAATTGAAGGGATTTTTCCCCCCAGAATTGTTGCTGATCTGTGGATCCCCACCTCTAACCCCTAGGAGTGATGTGAGTATAGGGGGTAAGATTGGGGTGCGATATTACCATCTAACCCCTAACCTAGCATAGGAAGTCTCAAAGGAGCTACTTGGATTATTTGAAATGTGATTTTTGCAATTGAGAAATACAAAGGATTGGTGCCCAATTCAGGCCTGGAAGAACTATGACAGCTAACTGTGATGGGCAGACTGACTCCCTCAGGGATCTATCAAAGATGGGCTGATTGCTTTGATGGTATACCTGGGAGAATGCAGCTACATTGGGATTGGCTTGTGTTCCCAAAGTTTTTGGTGCAAGCTTATGTCTGATCATTTCTGATAGAAAAGATTTTCATCGTGTGGGGGAATGGAAAAACTGGTCCAGGTTAGACCTCTCCTCCAACCCAAGTGGGCCTCCAGGAGAGGGTTAGGTGACCTTAGAAGACAGAGGCAGAAGAAAGACCACAGTATGCCCTGCAGCCGGAGAAGGAATTCTAAATGACTACCCAGAATAGAGATGTCTCTGTTCACTTTCAGGTAACTATAGGAGAGAGGTCTCCAGAGCAGTGAATATTCCACAGAAGAATCAGGTTCAAACATTTGCAGGCCCAGTATGGTACCAATTCATGTTAAAGCGGTCTATTCTTTTTTTCCCCTTCCCTCCTCCTTTTGTCCTGGCAGGGAGACCATTTCACTTCTTTCCTGCTATCCGATTCCAGCCTGAAACAGGTCCTAGGTAGGAAATGACTTATTATGCATAGATGGTGGGATTCACTCATGAAATTGTGTTTTGACTACATTACAATTATGTTTGTTGAATGCCGTGGTTAAATATGTACCTACCCTGCAGTGGACCCAACCGGGCAAGACTTCCCAGGAACTATTTCCCTCTGCTTCATTACGGACCCATGGCAGTATCCGTTTTGTTCTCCTACTAATATTACAAGAACCTGCCATTTCATTAGATGTTTACAAACTCAAATACCTTTGGGATATGAAGTCACCATGGAAATGCACACACATGTACAGCTATAAAGAGGAAGACCATAATATCACGTAACAGTCTCCAGCAAAGAATTTTCTCAGGCCAGGCCAGGCTCCAATACCAGCAAATCAGAAAGTCAACTACTAGCTGGTAAACCAGAGGTTCTCAACCTGTGGGTCGCGACCCCTTTGGCGCTGGACCGACCCTTTCACAGGGGTCGCCTAAGACTATCCTGCATATCAGATATTTACGTGACGATTCATAACAGCAGCAACATTACAGTTATGAAGTAGCAACGAAAATAATTTTATGGTTGGGGGTCACAACATGAGGAACTGTATTTAAAGGGCCAGAAGGTTGAGAACCACTGTAGGTAAACTTTGTGTCTTCAGAGTCGGCCTTTCCTGGACCCGGGTGAGGAGCTCTGCTCCGCACTCAGCCTTGGACGCCGGGGATAAACTTCCCGTTGAGAGGAGGTGGAAACACCTCGAGTTGGCTTGAATCTCCAGATACAGCCAGTGCAGCCCTTGCGGCGCTCCCTGGCTTTTCCAGTCCACCCGTTGGGGCCGAATCAAGTAGCATCTCAAAAGCTAGCATTGCTGCAGGACAGCCTGGCTTAGGCCGTCGCATCACCTCGGAAGCCGACAGCGCGCTGACGTAGCGGTGACGTCACGGCGTCCCGGCGCGCGCCGGCCCTGAGTGGTCCCGGCCGCTCCGCCCCCCCGCCCGACCTGTCGCCAAGGGACGCTGATGGGCTGGTCTCCTTGGCAACCACTCGCTCCACCCCCTCCGTCCCTTTAACCTTTAGGGTGCGCGGGCGCCGCGTCCCTCGCACTCCCCCCCTTTCCCTTCCCCTCTCCCCAGCACCCGGCTCTCAGCCTTCCGGGCCGGAAGCGAAGATGGCGGCGGAGACGGCGGGCGCGGCCTCGGCGGAGCTGGTGATCGGCTGGTGCATTTTCGGCCTCTTACTGCTGGTAGGGGAGGCGCTTGGAGTTTTCCCCGTGTTTACGTTTGTGGGAGAGAGGGAGGGGCCGGCCCCGCCGCTGGCCTCCCGGGGCGCGGGAGGCACTCTTCTCCCTGTCGTGCCTTTACCTGGGACTGTGGGGGTACTGGCGGGGTATGGGGGGCTCCTCGGCGCCGGGGATGGGGGCAGCGCTGGGGGCTGGGGGACGGGGCACTGGTTCTCGGCCTCTTTCGCTGTCTTTTTCCTGAAGACATCTAATATTGCAGGTTTCCTTTCCCGAAACTCTTGCCCTCACCCCTGACTTGGGCCCTGGGGCGGGTGGAGTTTGGGGCCGAATGAGACCTTCGGGTGGGGAAGGGTGGGGAGGCCTCTGGTCCCCGGTGAGGCGGGAGCACTGGGTGGTGGGGCAGCTGTGCCCGATCTTTGCAAGTTCTGTCGGCCCTGGTGTGGTGGACTCAGAGCAGGGCCTGTCTGCTGCTCTCTGCACCAGGTCCCTACCTCGGGGTCATCGAGTCTCCAACCTTCCCAGCCCATTGTGCGATTCTGCCCTGGTGACTTGAGTGTTCGTTCCTTGTGACTTCAAGGTTGCACATTCCTTTCTAGTCTGTTGGTAGGTGTAGAAGGAAACCTGTGTGGGGCAAGCTGTAACCCTCTCTACTGCCAGGATCAGGGCGTGTGTATTGCCACCCATCTGAGCTACCCTTCCCACCCTGCCCCATTCACACTCATCGTCTTCATTCAGCCCTGCTGTTGGCTTCCGTCCCCAGGTATTTTAGCCACTTTGCATTCTGAAAACAAAAACAGAAGTCAAACCAAACAATTGTTAACTCCACTTCTGGAAATCAAGACGTTTAATTGTACTTATTGGATGCCACACGGCGTCTACAGCCTATGTAATATGCCTTGCTGGTACATGTCGCAACTCTACCAGAAACCCTACCGAAAAAAAGAAAAGAAGTGAAAACTTACAAAAAGGTTTCTCTTGCAACCTTTGCTTTGGCAGGAAATAATACTGCGTTCACATGGGAACATGGTTTACCCGTCTTGGTGAAGAAAATGGAAACCCTAAAGCTTGGCTGTGGTTTCCATAGCCCTTCCAGTCCTGTACTTGGAGAGTTCACTGGCTTTTCCAGACCCTCGTATTCAGTAGGTTTAGAAGAAAAACAAACAAGTAACGAGTATCAAAGTCTAGTGGGAATATCTTGGCTGTTACCAATGAATAAACATTTCACAGATAGTAGTTTTGCTGTCAATTGTAGGAGGATGCAAACAAAAGAAATTGTGGCCTCTGAGAGAATCTGAAGATAGGTGGGAAAACAAAGATTCTTGAAACAGGTATTTTAAGTACTGAAAACCAAAGTATGATTTTATAGAATAAGACTTCAGGGATTAGAGAACAATATTGGAAGAAAGTGTAATTGAGGTAGACTTTGGATAGATGAAGATGGGAAGGAATTTAAGTTGATCTTAAAGTAGGAACAAAATAAAATGAGAAGGGAATTAGGAATTTGAAACTGGATGTTGAAGTAGAAAAAATTAGTAATAAGGGCCATTGTTTAATTTTCTGCACATCTTTAATTCCTGGCTTATTAGATTAGAAAAGACCTGGATTCTCATGTCTGCTTCTGCATTCAGCCTTTTGAGATAAGTTACTTTGGTTGAAGTATATGAAGAAAATCCAGTTTTAGTGATATGTAGTTGGAAGCAGAGGAGTATCTTTTAGGTAATTGTGGACATTGTTCTTTAATACCACACCAAAACTCAGTAGTAGAAGCTTCTTTAAGGTTAGTTGCAATAAGGAATCTGAAACTCTATCAATGAACTTTTAATTCTGTCTCATTAGCATCCATTGGGCCATGTTGTACTTTGAATGGGTCTTTTCACCATGCATGGTTTTATAATATGATGCATTTGTCATTTAGAAAACACTGGTTCACTGAGTTATACAGATCTCCCAAATGTGGATATATATTTCATTACATAATATAAAAGTGTTACATTCATTAATATCACCACTGATCTTGTTATAAGAAATCCCAGAAGTAAGTATTGTGAAACAGTCAAGCACAGTTTTGGATACTAGTTTTCCAAAATTCTAATTTTCATTTGAAAGCTTGAATTTGACCATTGGCAACAAATATGGTCAGTTGCTTTTGTTGAAGTGATAGGTCCCCTTTGTTCTTTTTGACAAAATCTGCCAAATATCCACGTCTGCACAACCATAGTCAGTCAGTTGTGCTTTCAAGTAAAAATAATGTTCCTTGTCAATTGGTTTCCAACCCCTAGGTATTCAGGTATCCACCTTTCCTGGATTCAGCCATCACACCTTGGTTGCAGTTTGGTGCCATTGTCTGGACTCATGCTTAATTTTTCAGCAGTTTTCCCCGCCATGAGTTATACACTATGAGTGTAAATATCAACATAGTGGAAAAGGCAAATGACATTTTAGTATTGTTATGAGAATAATTTTGAAATTGCAAATCCTCAGAAAGGGTTTTGGGACTACCAGGGGTCTGGGGACTTAACACACTGTTGCCAGTCATCTACTAAAGAATCAGAACACTAGGATTGATAACTTTTGTAATTGTGGGCAAGCAGAATGTTTGCCACATAAGGAATTGTTAGATCTCGTTCCTCTAAGCTGATAATTTATATCAAACCCTTCTATCTTGTCTCAACAAGAGCCTCAGTAATTTGGCTTACACCACCTTTCAAATTTCCCATTACTATATAAGACAGTCTTCGTTTCTTTAAAGCACATTCTCTCTTGTTACTCAAAAGTTAGATCAGCACCTGGGAACTTGTTAGAAATGAAAACTTAAGAATCCAGTCCCACTGAATCAGAATCTGCATTTTAACATGATCCCAGGCAGTATGTGTGCTCATTAGTTTAGCAAACATCTGTTCTCATTCCTACCTCTGCCCGTGTTTCTCAGCCATGGCTGCTCATTAAAAAAAACTTGGGAGTTTTAAAAAAAATTCTAAAGCCCAAACCAGTTAAATCAGAATCTCTTGGGAGGGGTTGGGGACTGCACCCCAACTGCAGTCCCCAACCCCTTATAATAGTTGGCAAGTTATATGTTAGTTTCTTTTATGAACTTCTCTAAGATGCTATTTTACGTGACATCTATCGTATAATCTCCTATATAATAAAAAAGAAACATGTAAATTGACCGTACCTCCACAATGCCTACCAGCCAATCAGGAGTGAGTATGCAAAGTAACCCAACAAAGATGGCAGGTTAATTTGCATACACAGGCGCTGGGTGGAGAGCAGAGCAGGAGAGCCGGCAGAGAGTGGAGCAGCTTGGGGAACTTGGATCCCCAAGCTGCCAGACGGAGAGCAGAGAGGGAGAGCTGATGACTTAGAGGACTGGGCAGAGTGGGAGGCCGTGGGACGGAGACAGAGCAGGAAGGGAAAACCAAGAGCGCAGGGAGCACCAGGAATGCTGGGAATCATAGTTCTGGTGACAGACGGATCTCTTAGACCAGTGGTCGGCAAACTGCAGCTCGGCAAACCATGGCTCGCGAGCCACTTGTGGCTCTTTGGCCCCTTCAGTGTGGCTCTTCCATAAAATACTGGCTCTTCCACAAAATAATGACTTCAGCGCATGGGCCACGAAGTTTCAATCGCACTGTACGTGTGCACCCGCACATGGTATTTTGTGGAAGAGCCACACTGAAGGGGCCAAAGAGCCGCATGTGGCTCGTGAGCCGCGGTTTGCCGACCACGGTCCTAGGCAATAGAGCAAAATGAGCCTGGAGCAAGTTACTGTTGCAGTGGGGGATGTAGGGAAAACAAAGGTGAGAGACATAAGTACAATCAGAGTATCTAGGAAAAATTAAAGGGAAGATATCCTAAAACTTCCAGGAAATCTCCACCAGTGAAGCAAAGAAAAGAAAACAGCCTCTATTATTCTGTGAGCAACAAACCAAACTGGGTTGGGGTCTCAGACAATTCACTCGTATGATTGCAAAGACAGACAGAAACTCCCGGATTGGAGAGGGCTCCCCTGATGGCTCCAAGATTGGAGAGGGGGCAAGTCAGGCTGAGGGACCCACCCCAGTGCACGAATCTTTGTGCACCAGGCCCCTAGTCCGATCTAATAAAAGAGAAACATGGTAATTGGCGTATGACCGCTACCCTTCCCATTGGCTAATCAGCGAGATATGCAAATTAACTGCCAGCCAAGATGGCAGCCGGCAGCCAGGCAGCTTGAAACTAACATGAGGCTTGCTTGCTTCAGTGACGGAGGACTCCAACGTTCCCCGCCTGCCGCTGCAGGCCTCTGAGCTGGCAGTTTGAAACATAGTTACAAAAATAGAAGCTAAACAAAACCCCAGAAACCAGCTTCAGCTAGCTGGGATCTCAGACCTGGAGTTGATACAGAGTTTTGATTGTAGAATCTAAGCAAACCAGATACTTGCTTTCAGGAGCGGAGGCCTAAGAGCTGGAGCCTCAGAGCTAACGCTGGCTCAGAATTAAAAAAAAGAAAAAGAAAAAAAGGAGCAGTTGGGAGCTTCAGTCCCAGCCTGAAAACAGCCCTCAGCCCCTCACCCAGACTGGCCAGGCACCCCAGTGGGGACCCCCACCCTGGTCCAGGACACCCTTCAGGGCAAACCAGCCAGCCCCCACCCTTGCACCAGGCCTCTATTCTATATAGTAAAAGGGTAGTATGCCTCCCAGCACCAGGATCAGCGGAGCCGTGAGGCCTCCTGGCACCGGGATCAGCGTGACAGGGGGCAGCTCCCAAACCCCCTGATCGCCCTGCGGCTCTGTATGTGACAGGAGGCGGGGGCCACAACCTTCCTATCAGCCCTGCTCTGTTCCTGACAGGGGAAGGTGCCCCAACCCCCTGATCGGCCCCGCTCTGTGCCTGATAGGGGGGAGCTCCCCAACCCCCTGATCGCCCTGCGGCTCTGTGTGTGACAGAGTGCGGCACCCCAACCCTCCCACCCCACGGGCCCTGTTCTGTGTGTGATGGGGTAGACCCATAACCTCCCCATCAGGGCGCCCTGCCCTGAGTGTGAGAGTGGCGGCGCCCCAACCCCCTGATCGGCCCTGCTCTGTGGGTGATAGAGGGCGGCGCCCCAACCCCCTGATCGGCCCTGCTCTGTGTGTGACAGGAGGCGGTGCCCCAACTCCCCTATCGGCCCTACTCTGTGAGTGACAGGGGGGAGCTCCCCAACCCCCTGATGGGCCCTGCTCTGTGTGACAGGAGGGAGCTCCCCAACCCCCTGATGGGCCCTGCTCTGTGCGTGACAGGGGGTGGCGCCGCAACCTCCCCATTGACCCTGCCTTGACTGTGATAGGGGACGGTGCCCCAGCCCCCCAATCAGCCCTATCCTGACCGTTACTGAGGGTAGCATCGCAACCTCCCAATCTGCCCTGCTCTGTGCATGACGGGGCGGCGCTCGAACTCCCCAATTGGCCCTGCTCTGAGCCCAACCAGGGGCTGCACCTAGGGATTAGGCCTGCCCTCTGCCACCCAGGAGCAGGCCTAAGCCAGCAGGTCGTTATCTCCCGAAGGGTCCCAGACTGCGAGAGGGCACAGGCCGGGCTGAGGGACCCCCCCTCCCCCCGAGTGCACAAATTTTTGTGCACCGGGCCTCTTGTATATATATAAAAAGCTAATATACTAAGTGTCCTTCCCACTGTCCGACTGGTTGCTATGATGCACACTGACCACCAGGGGGCAGATGCTCAATTCAGGAGCTTATGACGCGCACAGAGAGAAACGGCACTGTGGACCTGGCGCCGACAAAGCAACACTCAGCTTCCCCCAAGTGAGACACAGGCCCCACCACCAACCCAGAGCAACAGCCTACCAAATCGTAGCCAATGCTGCCATGGCGCAAAATGCAGCCCACAGCCCAGCCCAGTCCACAGATGGTGGCTGTGGGTGCCATGTAATGACATCATGTTTTTGTTGACATTCTGAAGCCGAAATTGTTGACAGAATATGTCTGAAGAACAGTCACCGACAAGTACTATCAATACTGGTAGGAACTGCCTTCATAGTAAAAATGAGGTAATTGAGGATGCAATTATCGAATACAGTTGTGGTGGAATGACTGTTACATGTTAATTTTGCCTATCCCTAAATTTCTCTGATGAAAAACCATCTGATGGAAAATTTACTCGATGTTGTAGCAAAGGGAAAGTTTGTCCAAATGATAATGAATATTCCAGAATACCCAGCATATTTAAAAAAATTAATGCTGAATGAAGATTCTGACAGTAAAAATTTCATGGAAAATATTCATTGTTATATCATGTTATTTTTTATTTATCAATTTATATATTCATGTACATTTTACTAATTTTCTTTCATCTCTGACACCTTTATTATAGAGAAAGGGTGAATAGCAATATTAAAATATTTCTTCTAATTAATTTTCTTCCAATGTGCAGGAATTCATGCACCAGGACACTAATCTTCTATAATTGAGTAGAGCAGAGGTTCTCGAAATGTATTCCCTGGATCAGCACAGCCTCACCTGGGAAGTTGCTACAAATGCAGATTTTCTGGCCCGGCTTCAGACCGCATGAGTCTGAAACTCTGGGAGTGGGGCCCAGCAGCCTGTGCTTTAATAAGTATTCCAGGTGATTCCGATGTTAACCTAAAGTTAGAGAATCAGGAGACTGAATTCCTCTACTCTGTTAATTAATAGAAAGACATTGCTAACTATTAAGAGTACCTGCTTGATTAGAGATGTCAGCCTCAGTACCTCTCTGAGTGTACTTTTTTTCACTGGAAAGTTCCTTGCAATGCACATGTATCCATTTTCATTGTGCACTTTTTGTGGTTTAATGCTCTTTAAAATTTGAATTATAGTATAATGTGTCAGTTGCATAGTGATTCTTGGCAGTTAGTTAGTCTTTAGCTGAATGGTACTCCTGAACTGTCACAATGGGGCAGAAGTTAATTTCAATTCAAGTTATATTCTGTGATGCTTCAGTAGGATAGAACATGTAGTTATAGCTCCTTTAGGTTGGAGAGCTCTATAGGGAAAAAGTATTCAAAGCTAGTTATAACTATGACATTGTGTGAAACCATTAATTATTGTACTGTGTTCTGTGAGGATATAGGCAAATGAGCACTGTCATCATTAACTTTTACTTTGTGTGTGTCTTTGCACCTAAGTGAGGTAGTACTGCATCCATGAAATAGGCTTTGAAAATTATCAATCTTAAGTTTTTTACACATCTAAAAGAACTTTTAATTGATATTGATATAAAGTTTCATATTATTAAAGTTTCATATAAATTGGAAACAAACACATGCTAAAATCAGTTTTGGAGAATATATAGGGCAATAACAAAACATTTTCTTTTTGTTCTATTTCAGGCTATTTTGGCATTCTGTTGGATATATGTTCGTAAATACCAAAGTCAGCGGGAAAGCGAAGTTGTCTCCACTATAACAGCAATTTTTTCTCTGGCAATTGCACTTATCACATCAGCACTTCTGCCAGTGGATATATTTTTGGTTTCCTACATGAAAAATCAAAATGGTACATTTAAGGTAATTATTATACTATATGATTTTATTTCTTTCAGATTCTTGGCAATTAAGTGTTTAAGTTTATTAGTCCAGTATATATTATTGTCTCTGGAATAAATGAGAATCGAAATGCAGCATAGGCGCTGAGAATGTGACAACTAACGTAGAAGACTAGAAATAGACTATTGAGTGACATAAGACTATTATTTTGACAATTCTCCAAATTTGAAGAATGTCTTGTTAACCTGAAAATGTATTAATTGTAGTAGGTTTTATTTTTGTGCCTCTCATAGCTTGAAGTGTATTTGACTTGATTTGCATTAATGCACTAAATAAATAATTTAGAAGGGTTTTTGTTAGTGGCAGATCAGAATCTTAATCTTTATTTATTGAGTACTTTTAGTCAGTGTGGTATAGTGAAAAGACCACTAGGCTGGGAATTATAAGACCTGAGTTCTAATCTTGGGTTCTTAACTGTCTGGCATGTATCTTTGGCCAAATCAGTTAACTTTTCAAGACTTTAATTTTCTCCTTTTTTGCAGGGGGAGGAGAAGGAGGGGTGCGGCCGGAGGTTGTTCCTATTTTTAAATGAAGGGTTTTGAAATGGAAGATTTCTGAGTTCCTTTTTTATTCAGATTAATTTCAGTTTCTTATTAGTATAAGCTTCTATAGGGCAGGAACTGGGTCTTATTTATTGTTATATGCCCAGTGTCTAACACACATGTAGGTACTTAAATATTTGAATAAAATATTATTTCAGTTATCTCAATGCATGGTTCCAAAATAAGTTCCTGAATTTGGCCAACTGGGCTTAAATAATTTGAAACTGTTTTTATGGTTAGATTTAGATTTATTTTGATTTTTGTAAAAATTACCATTACTTTCTATAGGTATTCATTTAGCAAGTATTTAATTGAGCACTTAGTATGTGCCAAATACTGTATGAACTAATATCTGTTGAATATTTACTATGTTATGTGTCTGTCCTAAATGGTTAACATATATTAACTGCCTTTAATCTCCCAAACAACTGTATGAGGTAACTAGTATTGTCCATGTTTTTATGGGCAAGAAAACGAGGATTGGAGAGGTGATGTAACCTATTTACAGCTCCTAAGTGCTGTAGCTAGGATTTGAAGCTCTGCAGACTGGCTCCAGAGCTCTTTGTTTACTAGGATCTTTAGCGGTACCTATACCTTAGTATTATCCCTGGTATAATTATTATTTGAAGAGGAGAGGAATATGTTTTCAACTTGAATTTTCAAAAAAAAAATAGCTGTAAGTATTCTATTACAGTGTCTTTTATAGTTGGCCAGTAACTTTGGATAGTATTACACAAAGTGTATTAATCAAAGAAAATAAAAAATTGATAGTAATTGAAGTATGGTAGCAATCATCTCAGGTAGAAACTGTAGTTTAACTTTAACCCTGCTGTTTGGTTTCTGTACTTATTTGTTTGCTAAAATAATAGAAAAGTTATTTTGATTTCCTGAATTATATAAATCACCCCATTCGATTGAATACCCTGTTGATTGTACTGTGAATATCCCATTGGTTGTGGTCATACTGGTCTTAGAAAGCACATTTTCCTTTACCTGGGAAGGACAGCACAGTTATTCCAAGGTCAGAGGGCTCCAGTTAAATTGTCCCTGTTGACTCAGTGTTCTGGAGACCCAAAAACTGTAATTTAGATAACATGCTTAAGTCTGACCAGGCTCCTCATTCCAGACCCCAGGGCTCTAGATAATGTGTTTCTGTCAATTCAGTGATCCGGAGACCCAAAACTATAATTTAGATAACATGCTGCTTCTGCTTCTGTAAACTGCTTTTTTTGAAAACCAGGTTCCTCATTCCAAACCTTGTGATGTAATCAATACCTTTGTGATCTTTGCCTATATAAGTATGGTTTTGCAGCCATCTTATTACTATGAGATTTGGGGAATGGCCCCTCATAGTCCTGGATTGCAATAAATGTGACTCTTTAATTCGACTTCTTGAGGCGTCCTTCTGTGATTCGCGGGGTACATTACAACATAATGTCAACAAATATTCTTTATTTTATACTATTTTATACGTTGTGTAAAATTAAAATTAGTAGTTAAGTATGGTATCAAAATATTTATTGTTTTTTTATTTTTTTAGATATGTTTTTATTGATTTTAGAGAGAGAAGAAGGGAAAGACAGAGAGAAAGAAACATCGATCGATTAGCTCCTGTACACATTCCCACCAGGGATAGAACCCACAACCCGGGCATGTGCCCTGACCTGGAATCCAAATAGCAACTTTTCTGTGCTCAACATGATGCCCAACCAACTGTGCTACACCAGCCAGGGCCATTTAATGTTTTGATAGCTAAAATATATCTTATTCCCTTCTCCCAGTGATTAATCTTGTTATGGCCTATTATTAAGTATCAGGATTGAACTCTCTCCTAGTGCCTCAGTCCTACTCTCAGATGGTGGTAGTTGTATCTTGAGAACTTTGTACTTTTCATTACATCTACATATTTTCATTCACTTAATATTTATTAAGCTTGTACTATGTACCTGATAAATGTGAGTGCTGCAGAGGCTGCTACTCTCATGGAGCTTACTTAGTGTAAAACCAGACCAACAGTAAACAGCAAAACAAGCTAACTTCATATGAGGAAATACAACAGATGGATGTGGACAATTTAGATAGGAGGATTGGAAGGCCAAATTACGTAGATAGGCCAGACTGCTGAGGTTACTTGAGACCTAAATGAGAGAAGCTAGTCAGGTAAAGGGCCAGAGGGAGTGACTTTAGGGAGAACGGATCAATAGATAAAGACGCTTTTGGTGTGGATGAGTTTGGTCTTTTGGGTGAAGTGTGGTGTTGGGGCTTGTGCTTGGTACTAGCTGAGATCAAGAGAAGGTGGGGACCAGATTACTTATCACTTTTAAGTCATGTTAATGAGTTTAGGTTTTCTTCTAACTGCAAGGTGAATTTATTGAAGATAAAAGATAAGGTGAATTGGATTTGAGTGGTGCTAGTAGAGAAAATGATTAAAATTGGTATATATTTTGGAAATAGAACTGCTTGGATTTACTAATGAATTACTTACGGAGGGTGAAGGAAAAACAAAATTGAAGCACCGATGTCTGGTTTTTGTATACCTTAAAGAAATAGGGAAGCCTGAAGGAACAAACGGCATGTGCATGCATATGGGCAGATGAATGTATAAAAAAGAGTTGTATTTAGTGTAAGTTAACTTCAAGTTCCTGATATATATACTCAAGTGGAGGTGTCAAATAGAGAGTTGATATTTCAGGGAGACTTTTGGGTTGGAGTGAAGTATTTGGAAATCATCAGCATATAGATGTTATTTAGAGCTATGGACTGACTAGTAATTGGGGAGAGTGAGTAGTCAGAGAGGGCATTGGACCATGTAGTGGTCACCAACCTTTCGGACCTCACAGACCACCAGTGGTCCATGGACAACTGGTTGGTGATTGCTGGATTAGAATGCTCATTATGTAGAAGTAGCTGAAGGGGAAAGGCTGTAACCTAAGAGTTAGGAAGAAAATCAGGAGAGGGAGTCTATGATAATCAGAAGAATGTGTTTCAGGAAGAGAGAATGATAACTTTTTCGAATGGTGAGAAGTGAAATGAGAGAGGTAGAAAAGTGACTGTTGGCTTTGGTCATTGGTAACCGAAGAGCATGAAAAGTAATTTCATTGAGGCATTAGGGTTATCATCTTGGAGTGGGCTAAATGTGGACAGGGAGGTGAGAAGGTAGCGATAGGGAATGCTGACAAATTTCTGGTGAGTTTTGTCCTTTAGGAGAGTAGAGTCAGGTCAGGGGAGGTGTTTTTATTTGTGGTGGTTGAGTATGGATTGATCTCTTTGTTGTTTAATGGAAATTAGTAGGGTTTGTGTACTTAGGTATTCAGTAGAGTTGGAGAACTTCTTGAGAGTGGAGAGGTTATTATTATAGGTGCAGTGTCCTTGAGAAGGCAAAGGAGTTTAGGCGGGGGTGTCTAACAGTGAAATATTGGCTATACATGGTATGGGCACCTAGCAGAAGGAAGAGTTAACTATTGAATATAGGTAGAATCTAGGTGTTAGATTTGGTAGTAAGTTGAGTAAGTTCTTTTGGCTTCATATTATTTTAGAGACCTCTAAGTTAGTGTTTTTCAACCACTGACATTTTGTACTGGATAATTCTTTGTTGTGTGGGACTGTCCTGTGCATTATAGATGTTTAGTAGATCCTTGCCTCTATCCCACTACATGCCAGCAGCATATTGACTTCCCCCAACCCCATGTCTGCAGACATTGCCAAATGTTCCATGGGAACAAAATCACCTCTGAGGGAGAACACTGGTCTAAGGTGAAGGGTATCAGGTAAAATTAAGGAGATTCAAATGTCATTTTGGGTTGGACTAAGTGTTTCAAAATGTCATCTGAAGAATGGGAAAGGGAATTTTATATATATGACCCATACATCTTTTTTTCGTATGATATTTATTCCCTTTTCCTTTCTTTTGAAATGTTCTTCTTTAATATTTTCTATTTAGTATTAGTTCTTGATTGTTTCACATTCCTTTGGATCTTAAATTACTCTGAAGTTCCTTTGGTCTCCACTCTGGGAGGGGGTGATTTATAAAATGTATCAAGGGCATAGTAGTTCTCAAAATGTGGAAGAAGGAAGGTTTCATAAACTAAGTTCTTTGGACAGTACATTAGATACCTTGGATGCAAGACAGTGTATAAAAGCCAAATACACTAATAGTTCTTGAGTAATTTTGTATATTTTACACATAGTTTTAGCTTTAAAATAGTAACAGTAACACTTAGTTTCTTTTTGGCACAAGATTTGGTTAAACAAAAGAGCATTGCAGAGTAAAAAATACTAAATTGCAGTGAATCTTTGGCTTTAAATTACCTTCAATCTCTCTAACACTTATTTTTTTTTTTTCCTGAAGTTGGGGTCTTACCCAATTTTAAAGTTTAGCTTTTAACAGATTCTCAGTGGGTATGTTAATACCTTATGGGAGTGTCTTGGAAATTGGTAGGGAGTTTGTGTAAGGATAGATGTAATTACCCTGTTTCAAAAGTCTTCAAGTTTCAGAAATCTTTTTAAACTTCTGTTTTGATGTATAAACAATCACTAGAGAAACACAGCTGTTAGGAGCTGAAGCTTTGTTTATGTACATATTCATTTAGATACTTGAAAAAATTTCCAATCATTGCATAGAATTCTCCCCAGTGCTTTTCCATTCCTATGTGGTGAGCACTACTTACACTTTCCATTTTCTGTATGGGTATTTCTTTCAGTACTTTTTTAGACAAAGACTGTTAAAACTGTTGGTTGCAACTTGTTCTGCTTCACCATACTCAAAATTACTTCATGGATGTCCAGCTATGCCAGTTTACTTATATTTGTTTTTAATCTCTGTATGATATTCCATGTTATGAATGTACAGTAATACATTTTACCAGGCATGTAGATTGTCTTCAGTTTAGTTGTTGTTGTTTTTAATATTTTAAACAGTGTTACTCTGAATATTGTTGGGTAAAGGTCTCATGGTGAAAAATCAATAAACATTACTTGGTGCAGGCAGGAATTTACGGGGATAATTATTAGTAAGCAAACAAGTGCTTATATACTTGACATTCTGTAAAGAGGTGAGCTTTCTCAAAGTGCATACATCTTAGCAGAGGTGCCTCTGCCTCTTCTTGTAGGGCAAGCAGAAGAGTGGCTTTCCAGGTAAATAGACAGTCTGGACTTGGGTTCCAAGAAGTGTGAGCTTAGATGCAAGTTGTTCATGGGGCACTAGGACATTCCAGTTGCTGAACCCTAGAAACTTTGGGCCCCTTTGTCCCATAATTGAAATTGGGTGCGGCTCCTCCTCCTGTGTGGGAAGGGGAGGCCCCATTTGGGCTACCTTGTTGCCAGGCAACCCAGTAAGAGATCTTCATGTCATTCATTGGATAGTACTACTCATTTAAAACATATCTATGTACTTAGAGCTGTCCTGATTTATGTGAATCTAGGTTATAGACTATCTTCCTTACTATTACTGTGTAGGAAATGGCTTTTCCTCCACATTTGCCGCTATTGGATATAATTAATGTTTTAAATTTGCCATTTGGGAAGTGAAAGGTTACTATAATAATAGATTTTTATGTTTTCTTAATAAAGTTTAGTAACTTTAAATTCTTCATTGTTGGTGTTATTCAAAAAAATTACCCATCTCTTGCTTGTGTTTTTCAGATGACTTTTAGAGTCAGCATGTCAAGCCCCCCCCCAGTAATTGGTATTTTGATTGGCAGTATATAGTTTCATGGATTAATTAGGAGGGATTTAATATTTATAATATTTTCATGTGAGAACATGTGACTTTCCATTTCTTTAGATCTTTTTAATTGTCTAATTGTTGGTTTTCATTATATAGTTAACATAAATTTTTATTTAACCTATTCTTAAGTTTTCTTTTTTTTTTTTTAAAGTGTATAATGAGTTTTGGGTTTATTAATTTTTAAATTGTTTTTTTATATATAACAAAATCTGCCACTTTCGGTAGAATACTTTTTTTTTTAAAATGTTAATTTTCATTTTTCATTTTTTTTATTAGTTAAGGTATTACAAATGTGTCCTCATCCCCCCCATTAACCCCCAACCTCCCCCCACCCCACTGCCCCGCACACTCATGATCCCATCCCCCTGTTGTCCATGTCCATTGGTTTGGCTTATATACATGTATAAAAGTTCTTCGGTTGATCTCTTCCCCTTACCCCCGCCCTCCCCTACTTTCCTTCTGGGGATTGATAGCCTGATCGCTGTTTCTCAGTCTTTGGATCTGTCCCTTTTCATCAGTCTATGTTGTTCTCTATAATCCACAAATGAGTGAGATCATGTGGTATTTATCTTTCTCTGACTGGCTTATTTCACTTAGCATAATGCTCTCCAGTTCCATCCACGCTGTTGCAAAAGGCAAGAGTTCCTTTTTTTTTTTTTTTTAACCGCAGCATAGTATTCCATTGTGTATATGTACCACAGTTTTCTAATCCACTCATCTGCTGATGGGCACTTAGGCTGTTTCCAAATCTTAGTGATGGTGAATTGTGCTGCTATGAACATAGGGGTGCATATATCCTTTCTGATTGGCGTTTCTGGTTTCTTGGGATATATTCCTAGTAGTGGGATCACTGGGTCAAATGGGAGTTCCATTTTTAGTTTTTTGAGGTAGCTCCATACTGTTCTCCACAGTGGCTGCACCAGTCTGCATTCCCACCAGCAGTGCAGAAGGGTTCCTTTTTCTCCACATCATCTCCAACACTTGTTGATTTGTTGATGATAGCCATTCTGACAGGTGTGAGATGATAACGCATTGTCCTTTTGATTTGCATCTCTGGTATAATTAGTGACTTTGAGCATGTTTTCATATGTCTTTCGGCCTTCTTAAGTTTTCTTATAGTCTTAATTGCTATTGGAAAAATATTATTTTTCATTGTGCATCATGTGTCAAGGTTTTCCATTTGTGAGGCTAAATTTGGATTTCCTACATTTTTGTTCTTTTAGGTATTTGTCTGTAAGAAATTTGTAGATGTTCATTTTTAGAGGTGTCTATAGATTAAAAAGCAAAGAAAAAGAAAAGGAAGAAACCTAAATTATTTTTGGAGAATTAAATGTGCATACCCTTCATTAAGAGTACTTATAGTGGGATATTGATAATGATTTGGCCTCTGTAAGTATATTGAAAAAAATTGACCTACATTTACTAATTTGAGCCTTGCTACTTAATAGCAATGACCAGTTGCTTAGACTCTCCAGGTTTAAGTTTTCATCTGCATAAAATTTAGGATATTCAATAAAAAGACTTGCCATCATAACTCAATTCTGATTCATTAATGTATATATATTTTTGTGTAAAAAGGTTAATTTGAATGAATTTTCTAAGTTAAATTACTAATTTACAGAAAACTTGTGTGGAATGAATTTAAAAGAGCTTAGATTGACTATTTTAAGTATTTTTGCCTTTTTATTAAATTTATTGGGGTGACATTGGTTAACAAAATTATACAGGTTTCAGGTGCACAATTCTACAACACATCAACTATACACTGTATTGTGTAGGTGATATTTTGTTCACCACCCCAAGTTAAGTCTCCATCTACCACCATTTATCTTTTAGGTATTTTTTAATTAAAAATTTATTTTAGAAAGAGAGGAAGGGGAGAAGAGAGAGAGAGAGAGGGAGAGAGAGAGAGAGAGAGAGAGAGAGAGAGAGAGAGAGAGAGAGAGAGAGAGAAACATTGATTTGTTCCACTTATTTATGCACTCATTGGTTGACTCTTGTATGTGCCCTGACTGTGTTCGTACCCCAATCTTGGTATATTGGGATGACACGTGAACCAACTCAACTCCCCGGCCAGGGCATCTTTTAGGTAATATCTATATATCTATATCTATAGATATAGATATAGATATAGATATAGATATATAGATATATATAAAAGGCTAATATGAAAAGTGTCCCCTTGGGAGTTTGACCAGGAGACCAGGAGTTCGATCGCTCACTATGACGTGCGCTGACCACCAGGGGCCAGTGCGGAACAAAGGAAGGTCCCAGCCAACAGCTGGTAGCTGGGGAAGGAAGGCCCCAGCCAGCAGCCAGAAGGAAGGCCTTGGCCGGCAGCCGGAAGGCCCTGATCTGCCCTGATCACTGGCCAGGACTAAGGACCCTACCCGTGCACAAATTTCATGCACCGGGCCTCTAGTATATAATACTTTCTCTCTCTCTCTCTCTCTCTCTCTCTCTCTCTATATATATATATATATATATGTACATATAATATAATATATATTCAAATAGCTTTCTAAAATACAAATTATATTTGTCACTCTATATAAAAATTCATCACTTTTTCCATGCCCTTAGGACAAAGTCCAAAATACTTAGCATGATCATAATTCACTAGTCCTTCAAACCTGTTCTTCTCCTTCACTCTACCTCAGTGGTTCTTAACCTTCCTAATGCCGTGACCCTTTAATACAGTTCCTCATGTTGTGGTGACCCCCAATTTCATTGTTACAAATTGAACATAATTAAAGCATGGTGATTAATCACAAAAACAATATGTAATTATATATGTGTTTTCCGATGGTCTTAGGCGACCCCTGTGAAAGGGTTATTCGACCCCCAAGGGGGTCGCGACCTATAGGTTGAGAACCGCTGCTCTACCTGCTTTCTTTTACCTTTCCAAAAAGCTCTGGTGAATCTTTGTTTAGCTTTTTGCAGTTTTTTTCAAATTCTCCATGTATGTTCCTTTCTTCCCTCTTCCCTATTGCCTCTCCCACCCCCAAGAATGACCTCTCTTCCTTTAGGTCTCAGTTTCATTATTTTGGGACACTATCCCTGAACTTCAGTCTTAGTTAGGCGCCTCCTGTTTCTATGTGTTTCCCCAGAACTATATTATCTTCCTGTCTCAGCATTTACTTGTCTGTCACTTCTTGAAGGTCCTGACCATACCTGTTTGAGTTGATACATTTGTGAGTGATATTCTGTCATGGTAAAACTTAACTATAACTGTTAAACAAATGTATGTTTCATTAATATTTCTGTTTCCTTTTTGTCCTAGGACTGGGCTAATGCTAATGTCAGCAGACAGATTGAGGACACTGTATTATATGGTTACTATAGTAAGTATCTTTCAGTTTTATTTCCTATATCTGGGCTACTAACCAAAGTATAGAATAAACCTACATATAAACTTTTATTTTGACATCACATTTGAGATTACTGTTTGACAGAAGGAATAAGTAATGTAGCATCCATTCTTATAATCCTGAACTTCTTTTACCTGCTTTGCTATCGGTTCACTTGCAGCACTTCTTCGTGGAGGTTCAGTCAAATTACTTTAAATCTCAGGTCTCTTCCTCTGTTACCACTAACAGTTTCACACTTGCATTCTTGATTAAAATGTTCTCAGTTTCCTAGCAATTTAAAAAAAAATATTGACACTAGTAGAGTGATAGTAGGGAATTTGTAGCATCAACTTTAATGAGCCAGTTTAATCCAGGGGATTATGGTTATTGGTCCTTTTCTCCCTCACTTCCTTCCTCTTCCTTCTCTAATTTTGGATTATAAAAGCTTATAATAGCCACCTAAATGTTTGCAAATTTTTTTCTTTTAATAAAAATAAGACTCAACTGGAGCTTTTATAAAAATGTATAAGTGCTGAGTTAGGAAAGGGATGCTTTTTTTTTTTTTTTTTTTTAGCACTAAATCAAGACGTTGAATAAGATTACAGTAGGACACTAAATTGGATACTGAAAAAACATCCGTAGAAGTTTCTATAAAAGATTTTATTGGATCTTAACCAGCTAACAGCCACACGTCCAAAGCAGAAACCATCCCCACATGCCACGATATTTTGAATTTAATTTAAAAAATCAATTTGCCATGAATATTATAAAAATAAATATATTACTCACAATTCGGCTGTTCTTGAATATTTTCAGTTGAAAATTCTTACGAAAAATGATTTTTTAAAGCAACTATAGGCGCTTATGGTGTACAGAGGGTTTAATTTAACTGCTTTGGCCCTAACCCTTGCCTTTTCCCTTAAAATCTATAGGTCCCATGAAATTCTATTCTTTTGGTATAGATTTTAGAAATGTTTGTATTGTATTTTAATATAGAATTTATTTTTCTGATGAATATATTAAATATATATGACAAAATTTAAATTTGACCTGTTTAAACTTGAAAAGGTGCTTTGTTAAATGAAATGTTGCCTTTTTAATACAAATTTATTGGAAGTGTTATGCCCAGATATCAAGATCCCCAAAAGCCCACCAGGGAGCCAGCCGAGTCTGATGCAAAAGCAAAGAGTCTTTATTCGAGCTAGCTCGGCTCCCCGACCACACTCACCGACGCAGCGGCAAGTGGCAGAGAGAGCTAGCCCTGTGCGAAGAGGTGTTTTATAGGGGGGTGGAGTAAGGGGAGGAGAAAGGACTGTGGGCCCTGCCAATTGGCCAGGCGCAAGTCGGTGTCTTGTTACACAGGATGTGGTCATATCTATGGCACGCACTTCCATTGATTGTCATTGGTTAGTTTAAAGAAATCCTGGGTGTGGCTAGCAGAGGCTTGGGCTTCTGGGAAGAAGCTCCTTGCCGAGCACATGGCTGCCCAAAAATGGAAGATCCTGGGTAAGATGGAGGGCGTAGCCCTTACCCTGGGGCAAGATGGAGGGTGTAGCCCTTGCCCTTTCAGAAGGACATAAATTGCATCTTCAAAAACTATTTTGGGGGAAGGGACCTGTCTCCTGTGTGACATTAAAGTGTATTTATGCTGTAGAGCGCGTGACAAAATAAATCAATTTTTATCTCAGTGCATTCAGCTTCATAAAGCATATCTTATTGAACCTAGAGGCTTAGTCAAGGTTGCAAAGACTTCTAATAAACACTTCTAAACTGGAATGTTAATTCATGCAGCCTTTTCAGTTGGTTTCATGGAGAGAATTAAGCCTATAGGAAATTATTTTAGTGAGTGTTTTTCTCAATCCTCCTAAGGATAGTGTGCCCCGAGTATCATCTTAAATGCATGGGAGCTAAGTTAATCTTTATAAACAATAGATGGGTTTGATTCTCTGTAGAACTTGGGATAATTACCTTGGGATACGATAGATGAGACACTGATCTCGGAAATAAATTTGAATAGAAGATTTCTTGAAGACCATAGAATCAAAGCAGGAAAATTTAATTCGATGATATTTCGAGATGTTAAAGTTCAACTTATCAGTGAGTGGCATAGTCCCAAGTGGATATTATTGCCTAAGCTGGAGCTGCTTGTCATTAAATGAGCTACGTTTTAATCAATAGTGCTGAGGATGTTACCTATGGGAATGCTTAGCAGCACTGAACCCCCAAGGCAATTTCAAAAATCATCTAGGGACCTTTTAAACAATACTAGTGCTAGATTACATCCATAGAGATTCTGATTTACTCTTGCATTTCATTAATATCCCCACTGTTCTTATAAAAAATGTGTATATATTGGAAAGATGTCAGGCTCCAGATGGGTGGATTCAAGTTTTCCGAAAATTCTAATTTTCTCTTGGAAATTCAGGTTTAGCATTGGCAAAAAGTACTCTCACTTATTTTCTTTGAAGTGACAGGCTCACTTTATTCATCTTTTAGAAAGTTGGCCCAATATTCAAGTCTGGATAACTGTTGCTTGTCTGTCAGTTCTTTTTTCAAGTAAAAATGGTGTTTGAAAAAAAAAATGACTAGTAATTCACAACTGAAACTGCACAAGGGCTTCTCACAAGTATGCTTTCTATGGAGTTCTCTTCACCCGTAAAGTTAAAGAATTGTGTACTCAGTGGTGGACATCTAATAGAATTATTACTGCTTCAGAGGGACTTTTCCTGAATAAAAGTGATCCTGCTGGTGAATACTTCATGGTGGAGAATATAATAGCTGCTAGTGGAAAGGCAAACATCTTACTGTTATTATGAAAATAATTTTCATGTTGTGAAACCCTGAAAGGATCTCTGCTAATCCCAAGGTCTGGAAACTACATTTTTGAGAACTTTTTTTTTCTTTTCAATATGTTTTTATTGATTTCAGAGAGAGGAGGGGAGGAGAGAGAGATAGAAACATCAATGATGAGTGAATCATCAACCAGCTGCCTCCTGCACACCCCACACTGGGAATGGATCCCACAACCCGGGTATGTGCCCTTACCTGGAATTGAACCATGACCTCCTGGTTCATGGGTCGACACTCAACCACTGAGCCAACTATGACCTGCAGGTTCATAGGTCAGCACTTAACCACTGAGCCACACGGGCCAGGCTCTGAGTTCTATTTTTGTTTCAAAATTATTCTAACCTTTAGATTCTTACCTTTTATTGTAACTTATTATATGTATTTATTTTATTCTAATGTTTTCTGTAACCTTCTTGACATTTTTAGTTTTAATTCTTTTACTGTCTTTCTTTTAATTGCTTTTAAGTGAATTTTTCTTATAACTAATGTTTTTTCCTAACTTCTTATTTTGATTTTGCTTGAATGCAGGGGTTATAGAAATGACGAGGACCCAAATCATAAGTGGGAATTATTCCAGGCTGTTGTGTTCAGTTCTTCTGTAGTTGTCCTATCACTTCCTCCTAGACACTCTTTCTCCTCTTGACACCAATTCTAGGGCTATTAATTCTTGTGTAGATAACATATAGAATCACATAGTCTGTGTTGTTTTCTGTTTGGCCTCTTTAGTGCTCAGCATTATATCTGAAATTCCTCTTGTTGGTTGCAGGTGAAAGTATTATGTTAGTTCTTATTGCTGTATAACATCTCACTGTACTAAAACATACCATGGTTTGTTTATCCATTCTAATATTGATGATCAATTGGGTTGTTCACTTTACTGCATTGTTTTCCATTGTATGAATGCTCTTATTCAAACAATCCCAGATTGTTATGTGTTTAAGTTCTTACTTTTTTCTATTAAATAATTCTTCAGTGAAAATAGGAGTGTGTGGCAAAGTGTATGCATATTTATTTCTATGCCAGGCCTTTTGAGCATCTAAGTTTCTCCTCACTCTATTGGCTGATTGCTCAAAAGTTGTACCTGAAGTCTTTACTATGTATTTTGAATTTAAGGTTTGCAACTTCCTAGTGTTTAATTTGAGAAGTTTAAAGGCATTTAACTTCTCTGTGATTTCTCCACCTGTGAAATGGCAATCACGTGTAGTACCTACTTTATTAGTGTATTGAGAATGTGACCATTTTTTGTCTCCTTATTGTCACTGAATGAACAGGCAGTACTAGTTGCCATAAATCACTAGTACAGTGATTTATGCTGATTATTAAGGCAAGTAGGGTTGCTGCTACACAGTAAAGAAAAGGTGGAGTATATCTTGAAACCAGGGGATTGATTCTTTCTCAGGATTACCATGTTTAGTGGCAAAAATTGAGATCTATTACACTCCTCACAGGCAGGACCACCAAGGGCTCAGGATAGCACAGGAGGAGTGTTTGGGTTCCCACACTTCTTGTACCAAATTCTATTTCAGGAATTATTCCTGACTGCTATTAACAAATTGGAAATACGTGGCTTAAATAGTATAGTGGTTTTTCAGTTTCACTTAAAATAAGTCTGGAGATGGGCTATCCAGGGCTGTAGGGCAGCATCATGGCATCATGAGGATCCTAAGCTCATTTCTCCTCAGCTTTCTATCCTTAGTACATGCTTTCCATCTTAAGGTCACCACAGAATCCAAAAAGGTGGCTGGAGTTGTCATATATCCATTTCAGGCAGGATGCAGGAAGAAGGGGGAAGGACCAAAAGGGGAATGCCAACTGAAAGGAAAATGGGTATTGGATATGCCCTTTAGCAATCTTGATGCCATATTTCTTCAGCTGAATAAATAGGATAATTTTAGAAGGCTTTTAGAGTTCCCAAAATATCTTTATACTTTGACCCTCTAAAAGCTTTGTAATAATTAATTATACTATCACAATAATGACTAAGTTATTCTTTGTCACTGTTTTCAGTGGTAGTTGGGAGGAATAAAGAGTGTATAAAAAGTCAAAAGCCTAATTTATCCAAGTTAATTTTCATGTGAGTTATAATTTAATGATAAACAGTTCTTAAAAAGTAGGTTGTTTGTTCTGTGTACATTTTAAAAAGT